CCTGCAGGGAAAGACAGGCTTCCTGAGCCAGGCGGGTGGACGGCTTCCCGTCCCCCCCAGCCCCCCGCCCCTGGCCCAGATCCCCATCACACACTGAGCAACACAGTCACCCCCAGACCTGGCCTTGTCCTCACTCCTTTTTGGCCTGTGAGCTCCCGCCCCTGTCCTGCCGGCCCCAGCTGGGGAAACAGCGGGTGTGGACATTCACCCCCAGGTCAGGCCCTGTGGACCCGCATCTGACGTTATGGAACAACTCTCAGAACCGTGGGCCTCCTGGCAGCATGTCTGTCCTGTGGCGGTGCCAGGCCCTCAGCCACAGGGGACACACCCCTCCCAGGGCAACACCTGGGCACCTCTATTCCATCAGGTTTAAAATGTGGAGAGAGATTAGGACACTGGTCCCTCCTTTTCTGGCTGGAATAGCACGAGAGCCAGTAAAAACAGGAATTTAATAAGAACAGTCACTGGTTCTATGAGCCTTTAATGAGATGTGACGTCAAAGCCGGTGCACAAAGCTGGGGGCTGGCTCTGCTCCCAATACCAACTCGCTCCCATGGGAGGAAGGTTCCAGAATGCTATGGGACCAGCTATGCTGCAGACCACAGTGGCCTGCCTGCTGAGTGTCCTGGGTCTCGGGGCCCTGCAGGGAGCGGCTACTGGGACGGGGTCTTCTCCTTCCCATCCCCTCCGGCCACCCACCTGTCCCTCCTCAGCTTCATCTGCCTTTAGGAGGAAGTTCCCAGGATGCACAGCATGGGTCAGGAATGTCGGCATGATCTGCTTTATCTGAAAGCCCGCAGGTGTTCTGTGATGAGGCACCGGCCTGGGAGCCAGCGTGGACCCTGGCTGAGCCCCACCTTGTACCTCCTGCTCCTGTCAGAGATGAGAACAGTCCCCGGCAGAGGGGGCACGGGCAGCCTTTCTGAAGGTTAATGCAGGGCCCTGCAGGCCTGGAGAGGACTGGCCGTGGGGTCAGACATGCACGCCCCACAGAGGGCCACTTGCTTAAGTGAGGAGGGGTGTGTCTGGGGCCAACGGCTCCAGCTCCCAGGGGCTCATTTCTTTGTTATAAAATGAGGGACATTTATGAGTTGAGGCCCAGGCAGGGTCCACGCTATGAGTTGACGTTATGGAACAACTCTCAGAACCGTGGGCCTCCTGGCAGCATGTCTGTCCTGTGGCGGTGCCAGGCCCTCAGCCACAGGGGACACACCCCTCCCAGGGCAACACCTGGGCACCTCTATTCCATCCCAGGGTGAGGGGCAGGGGCTCTGGGTAGGAGACGAGAGGCCCAGGGCTCAGGTCCAGCCAGCACACCTCACAGAAGCCAGTGGCCACCGGAAGTCAGTGTTAGGATGTTTACCACGTACACAACGCTAAGTACTTTGGGGTTAAACTTTAATGCAATGAACTTGGGGGGAAATGAGCCAAAACGTTTGGTGGACTTGGAGCTCACTGTGCGGTTGAGGCTGCTGGGCGGAGGGAAGGCTGCGTGTCCAGGTCCATCTACACGCTCCAGCTGCCCTGAGAGCTGGGGCGGGGCGGCGGGCATCAGACCAAGGGGGCTGGAGGTGGGTCCTCACATGGTCAGCCACAACTCTGGCATCTGCAGAGACCTGTCTGCCACTCAGGCCCTGCTCTGGCCGCGGTGGGGTAATCCACGTGGCACCTGGCTCGGTTCCCGCGGCCACTCCCCTCTTCTCACTCTACTCCGACGTCTGAACTGAGTAATGCAAACAAGACATCTACTCCCTCCTCTCTCTCCCTCTGGAGGTGGAGATGTGTTTTCAATCAGGGCATCCTCGGAGCAGGATGACCGACTTAACCGGGGTCCCTCTAGCGACGAGAGGATGGTGGAGGGTCCCCCTCTCGGTGGAGGTCCTTCTCCAGCTCCAAACCCCCTCCCGCAGGCAGGGCCATCCGGGCACCTCTGTCCCTGGTCGGCGGTCGCTCTCAGGGGTTCTCCCACAGTCCCGAGCGGTCCTGTTGGGGATAAACAGCTGCATCGTCATCACCACGTGGCCTCCGTCCGGGACTGTGTCTGTGAAGGACAAGCAGGTTCCCAGCCGGGGAGTCCTGGCCACCGGGACCCGACAAAGGGAAGCTCCAGGCCCCTCACCCGCAGGGCCCGGCCCTATCATCAACTCCCTAAGACCCCAAAAATGTGTCATGATTTATTTTTCTCATTTTTTGAAATTCTGAGGTCCCAATTTGGAATTCTTTTTATCCTGTGAGCTCCCGCCCCTGTCCTGCTGTTCCCAACTGGGGAAACAGCAGTGTGGACCTCTACCCACAGGTAGGCCCTGGGGCCCACATCTGACGTTGTGGAACAACTCTCAGAACTGAGGGGCCTCTGGGCAGCATCTGTCCTGTGGCGGTGCCAGGGCCTCAGCCACAGGGCACGGCTGGGTGGAAGGAGCAGCTTCCTTTCAGAGGTGGCGTTGGTGCCGTTCAATAGAAGCAAGCACCTTGAGGAAGCTCCCGCTGTGTGTGAGCACGCGCAGCTTTTCTAGAATCCCACCAAGTGTACTGCTCTGCCCTGCGTGCTGCCCCCCGGGCGGCCGGGGTGAGTGCAGAGCTCTCCTAGGAGCTGTGCCTCTGTTCACGGCCCTGCCTTTACCTGGAAGCTTTTCCCCACTAAACACTCAGCCCCCAGAGAGGTTCAGGGAGCCGACCACTCTGAGCCCACGCAGACCAGCAGCCAGACGACCCACCTGACCGTGGCCTCTGCATTCGGCCGTGACAGGGTAGGGGTGGGAGTGGGCGTCACCCCTGGGAGCTGATGGCTGGAGGTTTATCTGCTGTCATCAAAGGTAACGTCAGAGCTGAGACACGAGGTGGGGAAGGCAACAAGAGGATGAACAGGTGTGGGTCCTTCCCAGGCCGCTGCCTCTGCCCGGCCACCAACACTGTCCACCTTCACGTCCAACACCGGAAAGGCCTGGCGGCCTGCATGGAGGAGGCGCAGCCTGCCCTGGGGGCTCTGTGAGAGCAGTGCCTTCCCCAGGTCCCTGTCGCAGTGCCAACAGCAGGAAAGCTCCACCATCCCCTTACTTCCACCCAATTTCAAAGGAAAACCTAAGATGAGGTTTGACCTTACATATTTGCACATGAAGATGAATTTCAGGGGTGGGATTTAAATGGGTTTATGTCCATCGTCTTGTATGTTTCAACAGCACATTTCATGAGCTTGAAGGGAATCTGCCTGTCTCCATTAGCAAACAGCAACCTGAGGCCGTTTCTGCCATGGTCAGGTGGACAAGACCCCCAAACCTGGAGGAGGACGTTACAGCCTCACCACTGAGGTCTGAGAGAGAGGGACACAAACCAGAGTACCGTAACAGCAGGCGAACCTCTCCTGATGAATGCCATGCCCTATACCACCCCCACCCCCCACACCAGAGCCCAACGGGGCAGTGTGTCTTCGGAACTCAGGGTGGCAATCGGTCTCAGTGATGGGGGTACTGGGTGGAGACGCTCTAAGTGACCTCCGGGGGGGCAAGGCACAAGGGCAGGCACCTGGTCCCGTGCCTACTCCCACCTGCTTAGTGGGGTGAGTTCACTCAATTCCAAAGCTAAGGAGGCGGCAATGCACGGCGAGGAAAACACCAGAACAAAACTGCTGCTGGAGCTCTAGTGTATCATTTGTTCATTTATTTATCTTAAACGCCACACAAGGACAGCCCACAGTCAGGCACGGAGTCAGATGCAGGTGGAGGTCCCTGCTCTCGGGGAGCTCACAGGCTAGGACGTGTTGAGCGGTCACAACCCCACAGGGCTTGGTGGACCCAGCCCAGGAAGGCAGGGAAGGCTGGGGCGCTCCCAGGGCAGCATGGGCACCTGCAGTTTCATAGATAAGGAGTAAATTTCAGAGGCAAGTGGTGAAAGGAGATGAGGGCCTGAGGAAAATAGGGCTCCCACCACCAGAAAGGCTTGGGAAGTCCAGGCCTTAGGGAGCCTCATGGACCCTGCTAATGGGATGGACCAGGGCTCTGTAGGTGAAGCTGGGGCACCAGCCAGAGGGAGAGGGGTCCAGGTGAGATGTCATTGAAAGCATGGTGATGAAGGTGCTGGAGGACCTGGGGCAGACCTAGAGCGTGGTGATGGAGGACCCGGGGCAGACCTAGAGCGTGGTGATGGAGGATCCGGGGCAGACCTAGAGGGTGGTGATGGGGGACCTGGGGCAGACCTAGAGCATGGTGATGGAGGACCGGGGGCAGAGCTAGAGCGTGGTGATGGAGGACCCAGGGCAGACGTAGAGCGTGGTGATGGAGGACCTGGGGCAGACGTAGAGTGGTGATGGAGGACCCGGGGCAGATGTACAGCGTGGTGATGGAGGACCTGGGGCAGACGTAGAGTGGTGATGGAGGACCCGGGGCAGATGTACAGCGTGGTGATGGAGGACCGGGGGCAGAGCTAGAGCGTGGTGATGGAGGACCGGGGGCAGAGCTAGAGCGTGGTGATGGAGGACCGGGGGCAGAGCTAGAGCGTGGTGATGGAGGACCTGGGGCAGACCTAGAGCGTGGTGATGGAGGACCAGGGGCAGACCTAGAGCATGGTAATGGAGGACCAGGGGCAGACCTAGAGCGTGGTGATGGAGGACCGGGGGCAGACCTAGAGCGTGGTGATGGAGGACCCGGGGCAGATGTAGAGGGTGGGGTCATGGTTATTGGAGCAGAGGGCAGCTCGAGCTCTGTGGGGGTGAGACTGTAGCACTGAATGGCTGTGCAGGTGGGTGACCCTGGATGGCACATGGACAGCCCAGCATCATCCTGGGATCCCAGTTATGTGTCCTTGGAGGCCTCGGTCTCCAAGGAAGAGGGTGTGTATGTCACACACAGGCTCCTTCCCCTCTGACACGGGTCGTGTGTAACCCTCGGCACTTGTGAACTTGGAACAGGGACTGCATAGCTATTTTCTGAACTGCTTTACAAAGAAAATTTTCTTTATAAGGCCTAGGTTTTCTTTAAAACATTCAATATCTGGTCAATTGTGCTTGAAGTTTAATTAGAACATAATCATTACATTTTCAAAAAAAAAAAAAAGACTAAATGTTTTCTTTTTAAGCGCTATTGTACCTTATTCCATTGCGGACAGGGTTCATGGCCCACGTGCGATACAGATCACAAAGCCCCGCAGCCACGCGATCGGGAACAACCCTCTCCTGGAACCCGCTCCACGAGCTGCTGACAGCCACACCCCTGCTCCGTGCACGCACTCTCGATATGGCAATTTTACAACAAAACCTTACTTTTCACACCTTCAAAAGCATGGCTAGTATTTGTCTCAAGGTCAGCTCATTCCAACTGTTTGGTATCAACACCGAAGTGCGAGAGCTTTCCATGATCTGTCTATGTAAGTGGCGTTTTACATTCAGAGAGAACAGAAACCTTCAAAAAAGTCTCCCTTCACTGAGATAACGACATGGCTGCTCTTGCCATTAGTTTTCGGAGTACAATTTCCCTCTTCACTCGTGTGTTTTTAGAACAAAGTATTAAAAGACTGTTTGCATAGCTGGGCTTCCACGAAACACACACCCAGGACAACACGGCCATCCTGTGCCCACCGGCCCTGGCTGCCCAGTGACGGGCCCAGCGCGCTGGGCGTGGGCTCTGTGCGCACACACCCTCACTTTCTACAAGTGCAGGGGGTGGAAACGCAAACGATGCTATTTTCTTTAATAACGGACCCTGAAAAATGGACAAGTGAACTGATTTTTCAAAAAGCGGTAAGAAGCCATCCTCAACGTGTGCGGACGGACCAGCTGAACGAGAGAATACCGTGTGGCCGAGTGAAAGGTAAAAGGCCTCATGGTCACAGGACGTTGCAATTATTCAAGGAACAAAGTCATGTGGGTTTTAGCACGAGTACAAAAACATCAATGTTACTTAATGACCACATCAGGCAGCAGCCTTTAGGCTTAATAGCAAGGGTTTATTTCTAAAGGCACCTGCAAAATAATTACAGCTGTTTGCTCCCCACCGTGCACAGCTATAGAATTTAAACGCACACGAGCCCACTCAGCTCTGAGTGCAGGAGGGACGCACCTTCTCTCCCCACAACCCCCCGCCCCCGGCCCCGGCTGTTACATACCTGCAAACAGCCCGCAAAATGATCAGCAAGTACCCCAATACGCGCCTCCCCCGATACCCCCCGCAACAGTAATAAAGGAAAATACACCAGAAGGTTCGCTATGTTTTTTTTTTTTTAAAGAATTGGCAACATGGTCTTGCTAACAGGATAGTAACACAGCTTATAGGTACAAGGCGACCGTGTTGTTTTGCAGCGACAGCAGCTCATCGTTTCTGCGTCTTTTAGAAAAAGCACCCCACCGGTTCGTTCGCAGCACGTAAGGTTAGAAAGATAGCGTTACCATTGGCAGGCAGGTAGGTGAAGGGCTGGTACTGGCTTCGCTTCCTCTTCCCGTTGCAGACGTAGAAGCTGACTTGGACGGGGCTGGTGATTCTCTGATTGCGAAACGGCGGTATCTCGACCACCAGCGCGTTCTAGTGCGAGAGGGCAGACAGGAGGGGCGGTTAGCACTCTCCCACGCAGGGGCTCTGCACGAGAGGGTTCGTCCGCGTGGAGAGCAGCTCCCACTGCGGGGCTGCCCGAAGAAGCCACCCGCAGAGAGCCTGCACGTGAGCGGGCACACGCGTGTGCGTCCCGGCCTGCCGGTCCCAGGTGGGCTCGCAGGGAAGAGGGTCCTTGATGTCCTGCACACCCAGAGCTGAGAGGTGGTCTGAGGTGGCGTGTGCAGGGGATGCAGACTGGGGGCTTCACCTAAGATGCCACCGACTTGGCGCAGGAGAGAGGCCAGTGCAGATGCTGAGAGGGGACCAGCCACACGGCCGCTGACCCCAATCGCTTCCGTCTGCCCTACAGCAAAGGGTCAGTGACCTTTGAAAATGAGAACGAGCCTCCCTTGCACTGACCCCTGGATGGAGCCAGGAGCACCTGTCCGGGCAACTGGCAATGACGACCCAGGGCAGGTGCATCCTGGAGATGTGTCTCTGGGGACAGGGCCTGTGAGGACAAGGCCCAAAGCCCCTCACCAACACCCAGGCTCCCTCAAACTGAAGAAGATGGAGAGCTGGGCGCCTGGCAGAGTCAGGAGGTGGAGCCCGAGATGGAACAGGGCGGTTCATGTGGCTGCTGTTACCTTCCTGTGTGTTAAAAATCAGCAACCGTCTAGCACAGCCGTGGGCAAACTACGGCCCGCGGGCCGGATTCGGCCCGTTTGAAATGAATAAAACTATTGAAAAAAAAGACCTTACCCTTTTATGTAATGATGTTTACTTTGAATTTATATTAGTTCGCACAAACACTCCATCCATGCTTTTGTTCTGGCCCTCCGGTCCAGTTTAAGAACCCATTGTGGCCCTCAAGTCAAAAAGTTTGCCCACCCCTGATCTAGCATCATGCTCTTTTGAGTACAGCTATAAAAGCAAGTTGCAGTGAGGCAGCGGGGCACTGGGGAGAGAGAGACGGCGGGGTCGGTACACCTGCACCCCGGCCACCTGTGTGCTCCCACGGCTGTCCCTGTGCGGCTGTCAGCAGGTCAGCAAAACGTGCTCTGTGCGCCACGTGCTGCGCAGGAGGAGGGGGAGCTGCACTGGATTTCGGGGAGTGGGGTAGGGGAACGTTTCACATCCCAAAAGTTCCACCATATTTTTGGTCATACGATTTCAGTTAACAAGCAGGAAAAATGTACAAGAAAAATCCATTGTATAATTTTTTTTTGTTAAACTAGTTATAGCTCGTTCCCCAGATTAATAGCAAAATTGACTGAATTATGTTAGTAATGAAATCTTAAGAATGTTAACACAGAAAACTGAAGAGAACTTCAGGCCAAGCCTTCTCCTTTTACAGGTAGAGAAACTGAGGCACCGAAGCCAGCTGCGGAGGGCACATGGATGGCAGGGCCGGGGAGGGGTCCCCTGGGACCACGCTGGCTCTGGGCCACATGCTTTTGTTGTTTTAATAACTTCATGTCATTCAGAAGAAGCAACAAGCACACCGTCTCCTTCTGCCTCAGCCTGCCGACCCTTACCTGCCGGGAGCCGGTCCATCCTTGCTGTTTCAAGGGACCTGGCATATATGGCATACTGTTCTTAATATGTTTGCTCACCTTCTTGGCACTATGTGTTTTAACCAAGGTCACCTCTCTGAGAAAGGTTGTTTCCCCAGGTAGGGATTTTCCCCTGAAGTTAGGGAGGGAATAAAACCTCTTAACT